TCCTCTTCTGCTCTCTGTCCTTGTGTCCAAACAGAGCCAGAACCCCTGCCATCAAGGTGACATTGCCAGGCCTCTTGTTAGAAAGAGACACTTTGTCACAGCAGCATTAGTGTGAATTGCTATGTGAGATTAAGCGGTCTTGAGGGGGTAGGACTCAGGACCTATCTCCTCAGCAGCATTTTTAGAGGATTATCAAACTTTTGTTGGAGTGAGAAACAAGGGACTCCTTCAAAGCCTAAAATGTGACTGAGGAGAACAGCAGGGTTGAGTACCAGGAGAATGGGCAGCGGAGGTCATGGTAGCCTTGGGGTTTATTCTGAGAGGGATGGTTGGGAAGGTGGGAGGGGCTAAGCATTGGCTAATGTCTGCTCAAAGTGCCCTCAGTGTGGCATGCAGCTGCCTCAGTTCACGTCCCAGGAGCTGTCTTCCCTACGCTTCCATGTAAAGGCTTCCTTAGCACACCTTGTACCAGTGGTTTTCAAAGTGTGGTCCCTGGACCAGCAGCTGCGGCACCACTTGAAAACTTGTCAGAAATGCGAATTCTCAGGCCTTACCTCAGATGGCTGGGTCAGAAACTCTGGAGGTGGGGCCCAACCACCTGTTTTAACAACCTTGAACAAGGCTTACAGGGCACACTGGACTCGGAGACCCCCCGCATCACACACACTTGCCTCCGGGCCTGTCCATGCCACCTCCTGGGCTGCTCCTGGAGTTCCTCCACGTCCCTGCCCATGTCATTGCCTATATCTAGAACACCTGGTTTTACCACCTCACACTCCAGTCCTACCACCTGAGAAACCCGACCTCACTTTGATGCTCATTCAAACATGGCTTCCCCTGGGGAGCTTTTTCGTTCATCCACTCACTCATTCTTGCCTTCATTTCTTCAGCACCTGATTATGATTTCCTCTGTGCCAGGCTCAGGGCTGGTTGTAGGGGAATCGGCAGCTATTGTGGGAGAGGCGGTTAGAAAGGTAGGCAAAGACCAGATCATGGAGGGAAAGACCTTGAGAACAAGGGAAAGGAAGTGGGGTTTACTAGGAAGCCATTAAAAGGTTTTGAACAGGCACAGGTGTGACGTATGTGGTAAGTGGATCCCCTGACTCCAGCAGGAAAGGAGGGTTGTGGGATACAGGAGATGATGCCGAGGGCCCAGCAAGGGGGCTCCAGGGGACACGATGGTGGCTTTGACTAGGGTGGTTGTAGGGATGGTGGAGAGAAGCAGATAGGTTTAAGATCTCTTTTGGGGATGGAACAGATGGTTTTTGGTGATGAAGCAGTCATGGAGAGAGTGAGGGAAAGGAATTGAGAATGACCTCTAGGTTTTTAGCCTGAGCTACTGGATGCATGGTGGGGCCTGTGCGGACGCTCCTCCTCCCACCTTGGATCATGCCAGTGTCTGAGTCACCCCCACCCCTGCGGCACATTCTCTATCTTACCTCCACTCACCATCTTGGGCCGATTACCTGGCTAACTCTAAGATTCAGTTTCCTCACCCATAAAATGAGGATAATAATACCCGCTACCTCTTAGGGTAGTTGTGAGAATTAGATGAGCTACTGCATGAAAAGCGCTTGGCCGACTGCCTGGTGCAGGGTAAGTATTCCGTGGCTGGTAGCCATTCTTATTGCTGTTATTTGTCTTAGGACAGAGCAGTGGTTCAACGGCTGTCAAATGAATCTGATGGGTGTGTGCAGTCTGGCACTGTTTCCACGCTGCTGCGCTGGCAGTTGAAGGAAGATTTCCTTCTAGAAGCTTGGTTTTTTTTCTGCTTTCAGTTTTTTTCTGTCCAGAGTCATTTTGAAGCCCTGGCCACTGGTACGATGGTGAGGAGGATTTTATCCCTTCTGACTGCCGTCCTCACTGTGGATGTAGTTATTAAAATAAATTCAGCTGGTGGTGGCAGGTGAGGGATTTGACCATCACTGTGTTTAAAAAGGGCAAGGACAAGCAGCGTTTTTAAAAGTGTTATCCTTTGGGCCCAAGGGTACGATGAATACTGTATTTGCAGTTAAAGATATTGGCATTTGAGCAGCGAGGGCTGTGGGCATAGCAGGAGGTGGGCGAGCCCGGGCCCCTGGGAAATTAGACTCCGCTGGCCCAGTGGCATGATGCAAGAGTCCCTGGAAACCCTCTCACATTTATGTGACTTTCAAGTTTAGGACAAATGCTCAGCACAACTTGCTTCTAGCAATAAATGAACAAGAAGTCCCCACTGATGCTGCACCATGTTACCAAGCCGAACAGATGCTTCTCTGTGCTCATCCTGACCTGCCAGCTGCATGTGTCCCTGAAGACGTGCTCTCCTGTCCTGGCTTCCATGACACTACTCTCTTTTGTTCTTCCTCCTGCCTCATTGACCATTTTCATTGACCTCCTTCATTAAGTCTTTCTCCCTTATCTGACATCGACATGCTAAAGTGTCTCAGGATTGGGTTTTGGGATGTGTTCTTTTTATCCCTATGTGATTTTATCTATCCACATGGATTTACATATATGTGCTGATGACTTCTATATGTATATCTCTGGCACAGAACTTTCCTCTCAACTCCAGGCTGGCATACTACTCTCCTTGATACCTTCTCTACTTGGATGTTTCTCAGACATCTCAAACTTAACATGACCCAAAATGGAATTTTAGATTTTTGCCCTCAAATCTTTCCTCCCCTGCCCCCAATCTTCGCCGTGTCAGTAAATAGCACCAACATTTACCCAGAAACCAGGAAGTCTTGATACCTCACTTTCTCTCATATCCCACATTTAATCCAACACCAAATCTAATCAATTCTGCCCTCACAATGTATCTCAAATCCATCTACTTCTCTCCATCTCCCCTCATAGCACCTTGGTGCACGTTACCATCATCTCTCCCATACCACTGCCATCTCCTTCTAACCCCAGCTCTGTTCTCCTTTTCTCCAACCCATTCTTCATCCTGTTTCCAGAGTGATCTCCTTACACTCTTCAAATCAGATCACTCTGATTAAATTAAATTAAAACCTTCTCTCTTTTTTTAAAAAAGATTTTATTGGGGAATCGGGGAAGGGGAACAGACAAGTTGCTGTCCTTTTGTTCTTCAGTCTAGTTGTGGAGGATGTCACTTCATTGGTCCTTGTTGGTATTATCATTGTGCTCTTCCTGGGTGAGGCAGTCACTTGCTGGCCATTGGACAGCCACTCACAAAAGCGCACACCAGCTGCCAGCCAGCCCTACTGCAGCCTACGCCGTCGCTGGCAACTCGTGGCGGCACAGCTCCAGGTCGAGCTGTTGTTCACCATCTTAGCTGCAGAGGGCAGTGTCACTGGCCCTTATGTGGGATCCCAACTGGGGCCCTGCTGCTCAGAGCTGGTGTCCCAAGCCAACTCCTAAACAACACACCACTCGGCCGGCCCAAATTAAAACCTTCTTAGAGGTGTTTCTTATACTTAGAATAAAACCCAGACTCTGACAGTGGCCTTCAAGGCCATGCCTGCTTGTCAATCTCCCCAGAGGTCACCTGGCTCCGGCCATGCCGGCCTCTGGTCTTTCTGGACCACGTACCAGTCTTTCTCCTGCCTCAAGGCTTTAGCACGTGCTGAGCCCTCTGCCTGGACCACTCCTCCCTGTTCTTTGCATGGGAGGCTCCCCCATACTGATCACCTCACCTAAGCTAGAAGCCCCGTTTACTCTGCCCCTCTCTGCCTTGTTTGCTTTCTTTAAAACACGTATCATGGCCTATAATTATTATCACTTTTTATTTATTGGTTTATTAGTTATTATCTCTGCATTTGCCACCAGAATATAAACTCCTTGAGGTCAGGCTCTGCCTTTCTGTCTTGCTGTTTGTTCCGTCCCTGGCACAGTGTCTGCTATAGTAGGTTTCAGGTGTTACGAGCCCCGCAATAGAGCTGCCTCTTCATGGACAAGCAAGGCAGGAAGACCTGGTTCCTACCTTCAGGTTCCTACCTGGTTCCAACCTGAGATGACCTTGAGCACCTCCCTCACCCTCATCACAGCCAGCAGGAGTCCAGGGAGAACCAGGGACACCTGAGGGCTAAGGTTGGGTCTCACTCACATCAGAAAGACAGGACAATGGGCACATCTGAGTCTGTACTGCAAATAATCCTTGACCTCATTATCAAACTGTGCTTTGGCTGAAGAAAGGATATGTTCATAGAAGGGGTCAGTTGAGCATGGAGTGAGAAGCCAGAACCGCTGGGTGGCGTTATCTACCATTCTTGGGCAATCAGGAGTGCCCTGGTCCCAAGAGGCTGCCCTCTGACATGATGAGGACAAAGTTCCTTAGGCCTCACCTTCCTGGGAAGCCTCTCCACACCTCCCAGTGCTGGTTCTGGGCTCACCTAGCATCCTGCCTCCAGCTACCTTAGACTAGGAGGGAGTGCTGAGGACAGCAGGTGCCAGTCCTGGACGCGAGAGGCTTAACCACCACTGTATATTAGCACGTCATCCTGGGTGGATATGTCAGAAGGGTTTGTCATGAGCCAGCCTGTCAGGGCCCAATTCTCTACAGATGCCCTAACGAAATCTGAGTTTTGACCACAAGGCACATCAAGATACAGTGACCCTGGCAGGCTCTGCCTGGGAAGCCAGATGACCCCTCTCTATGATCTCTCTCTCTCTCTCTCTCTCTCTCCTCTCTCTCTCTCTCTCTCTCTCTCTCTCTCTCTCTCTCTCTCTCATACACACACACACATTTGGAGCAACTGCTTTTCAAACTCCCATTTCCCTTTCTACTGGAAAGAACTTACTAAGTACAAATTTGAACTTGCGTTTTATTCAGGGGTGTGCTCTTGAATAAACCCTCACAAGTTGGGCATTGCTCTTGACTCTAGTTTTATGTCTTCTTCACTCCCCTGCTACAAACTGAATTATTTTTCTGAACAGACCCAGGCCTTTCCGGCTTCCAGACTGGACTCATACTGCTACCTCTGCATGTCATGACCAAACCATGCCACACAGCCTCTACATTTTCCTTCTTTGCCTGGTAAACTCCTATGCATCCTTCAAAACCCAGCTCAGGCCACACTGGGTGCCCTCTGTACTATCCATTTTCCCTGTGGGTATATCTCTATCACTGCAGTTGTCATGCTGGAATTTATTCTGATCTTTTCTATCTTTCCCCATCACTGACGTACGTGTCCCCAGGACAGGGACAATCTCTAATCTCCTAAGCATCCAGCTCAGAGCCTGGCACACAGGTGCTCAATAAATATTTGTTAACTGGGTAGACAAAACAGGCTAGCTGGGGACTGCAAATTAACACAAACAAGTAAGGCAGAACATAATTAGATGTGTAGAACTAAGTATAAGATGCCTGAGAAGCAGAACTCAAAATTTAAAGCCAAGCTTCATAAAACCCAAAATAGAAGCAACCAAACAAATCAGACCCAAACATTTTAAAAACACTGTTTTATGCCATGATCAGCCCTTCACAGGCATGCTCTTATTTAATCCCTACGCCCAATGAGAATGGTCATACAAAATGGGTGCATATTAGCTACTTCTATTATAGATGAGGAAACTGAGGCCCAGAGGGTTCAAGGAATGTGCCGCAGTACTAAGTGGCCCAGCTAAATTTACTCCACAGCCCATGCTTTTTTTCTTTCCTTAAAACAAAACAAAACAGAAACAACAAAAAATAAACAGAAATCCCCAAACTTTTTATTGTGGAAAATTTCAACTCTATAAAATTACATAGAAAGGTAGAGAAAAACCAGAATGATGACCCCCTCCATCTCTCCACTTCAGCAATTAACATTTCATAGCTAATTAAAAAAAAAAAATCTCTACTCCCACTGACCTCTACTCCTTTCAGAGATTATTATGTACCTATCATTGTACCTGTAAATATTTCACTAGCCCATGCTCTACTGTGTACTTCGTGTATTTTAATTTAAAGATCATCAAAGCAATGCATACATTTGATTGAAATAAAACTAAACGATACTAAAAAGAAGCGCTGGTAAAGAAAAGCGTTTCCCTGCCCTACACTTGTCCCTGCCCTTGTCCTTGTTCCCAAGCATCTTCAGCTTTTTGTCCAGAGCTTGCCCTGGATTTCTACAAATTTCTTGATTGTTTGACTTATCAGCCACAGACATGGTATATTGACCTTCTGGCCAACAAATGAAGATTTAGCTCACTTACCCCCCCCCCCCCCCGCCTCCCCACCTTTTTCCTTTATTTATTGGCTGTCTTGGTAACGTTAAATAATAAAGCTCTATTTCTTGATGTATCAATTATGGAGAGTTTCTTTCTCATACTCTCTCTCTTATAATCACAGATGTTTTATTTTCTAAGGTCAAAAGGGAAGACAAAAACCCAGTTTAATTACTAAATGAATCTACTGATGGCTGTGTGAAATATTGGTCCTTTCTGCTAAGAATTATGATGTAGGTGCCTCTCACTGTCAGAAGCTAAGGGCAGACGGCCAAATTGTTGCTTTATTTCCCAACCGGACATCCTCGGGCCTACAGAATAATGTCAGCCTTTAATGATTTTTTCACCGTGCTTCCTCTCCAGGGCATGGCTGCCAAACCCACGTGCAACCATCTTGCCTCACCACCATGCTTGGATCGTGATTCTAACATTATGTAGCTCAGTTTCTCCTCTTGTAAAATGGGGTAGCTTTATCTTGACAGTACCAGGGTTACATAGTCATCTCTGAATAGATGTTTGTTAAATAAATGAGTGACATATGTTTAAAGAGCCAAATGTGAAACAGCATTGTGAAACCCATTCAGAAGCATGGAGTTGGCAAACTTTTGGGAGGTGAGGCTATGAAGAGAGTGGAGCTGTGGCACACGGTTTCAGGGAGGGTAAATTTGTGCAGCCGCTTTGGGGAGCAATTTGGCAATGCCATATCAATGCCGATGAGGGGCACGGCATCTTCTGCTCCTAGGTACGGACCTAGAGTAAGGTCAGAAACTTTTTATATAAAGGGCCAGGCAGGAATTATTGTAGGCTCTATGGGTCAACAGTTTATGTGGCAACTCTGCACAACCCCTGCCCTCATAGGATGAATACAGACATAGACAATTAGTACGTGAACATGTGTGACTGTGTTCCAGCCAAACTTTATTTACAAAAGCAGGTGCCCGCTTGGGTTTGGCCTGTCTAGAGTGTGCCCACCTCTGACCCAGAGAAACTCTCCTGTATGTATACAGGAAGGCTTATGTCCCCTCTGGTTTGTGACAGAGCAATTTGAAAGCAACCTACGTCCATCCACAGGAAAATACATAACCTATGGTAGCTAGATAATGAAATTCTCCCTGTGTCAACATGGGTAAATCTCAAAAACAAAATGAGGAGTGAAGAAAGCAAGCTGCAGGAGGAAATAGTATGTGATGGTTAATTTTATGTGTAAACTTAGCTGGGCCATGGCGTCCGGATATTTAGTGAAACATATTCTAGATGTTTCTGTGAGGGTGGTTTTGGATGAGATTAACATTTACATCAATAGACGTTGAGTAAAGCAGATTGTGCTCCAAAATATGGGTGAGCCTCATCTAATTAGGTGACGGCCTGAATACAGCAAAGACTGAGGCCTCCGAGCCAGGAGAAATTCTGCCAGCAGGCTGCTTTGACCTGGAACGTTGGCTCTTTCCTGGGCCTCTAACTGGCTGACACCTTGATCTTGGACTGCTAGCCTCCATTATCCTGTGAGCCAATTCCTTAAAGTAAATCTCTTTCTCTCTACAGAAACATCCTATTTGCTCTGTCTCTGGAGAACCATGACTAACACTCGGTATAATACAATGTAATTCAAAGTTTAAAATCATGCAAAACAATCCTCTACAGGGTTTAGATGCATATATAGTACAACTGGAAGAACATTGGTGGGAATGATAAATGCCACGTTTAGAGCAGTGGTGTCCTGGGGGAGGGGACTGGAATCAGCACAGAGCAAAAAGGGGGTTTCAATTGACATCTTTGATTTCCTGTTTTTTTTAAAGAAAGGTCTGTAGCAAAGAATCCTAAGGCTGACAATTCTGGATGTTGGCTACCCCTTTTTATATGTTTGAAATATTTCATAATTAAGAAAATGAGGTAACATAAACAAAACAACTAGGAAAAGGAAACTAGCGCAGTGAATGGCACATCATGGGCCCCTAACGTACCTAGAGTGAGGCTGGCCAGGACAGATTGGATGGAGAAGGTAGGTCAGAAAGGGACAGGAGGGGACTAGGTGGAGGGGAGGCCTCTGAGCACCAGTAAAGGCCTCCACAGGCAGCAGGAGATGAAGATGGAGTGGGATTTGCTGGGAGATTCTGGGTAGGAAAGTGGGGCAGGCAGAGCAGGAGGAGTGGATCGTGGACTAGAGGACGACAAGGTGAGCAGGGGCGAGGCAGTGGGTCGGCTGTGTGGACACGCTTACATTTGTTTCAGACTCTCTAAGCTGCATCTTGTGTTTACCTGAAGGTGGCTCTGCAGAAAAAGTTATCCCCAACTTCCCTCTGATGAGGTGTTTCCTGGACACTTGCCAATGTCAGGCTTGCTGGGGACTTGCGGAAGCTTAAACCAAACAACAAGCTCTTCTTTGCTATTTTGGGTGTGGCTGCTGGAGCAGACACTGTCAGTGCTCAGCCAGGTCCCCTTGGATCTTTGTGTGGGTGTGACCTGGGGTTCCGCGTGTTCTTCTATTCCCACAGTCAGCACTTGGGTTCTTTTTGGAGCTGTGCCCTTAGACTACCAGAGTCCACTTTATGGTTCCCCTGGGCTAGTCCTTTGGGAATGTGGGGGTGTGAAAGCCAGCCCCCTTGCTTGTGGTTGGGACAATTCTGAGGTGGAATTGACCCACCTGAGGTCCCACTCAGGGTCAGGCTGAAGCCGGGCCTTGACTTGATCTGGTTCCCTTGCTTGTTCCTCCCTCACAGGTTTGCCCTGGGAGCACCTCTATAAGATGTCACCTGTTAAAGAATCCTAGGGGGCAGCCAGTTAGCTCAGTTGGTTAGAGCGCAGTGCTCATAACACCAAGGTTGCCAGTTCGATCCCCACGCCCTCTACAACTAGATTGAAACACCTATTTGACTTAGAGTTGATGGGTCCTGGAAAAACACTGTTCCCAAATAAAGTAAAATAAAATAAGTTTAAAAAAATGTTAAAACAAATCCCCTAGACTTGGTATCTGTTTCTTGGGGTCCGTCTAAGACAAGAGTTTTTTCTCAGCTTCATGCTGTTCATCCCAGAAACCCTCTGGAGTCAGACTGCCTCGAACCTTAGTCTGTCTAGAGTGGAGCTGGGTACATAGCCTCTGGATCAGACTATCCAAGTTGAAAGTCTTCTCTGTATCACTTTTTAGCGGTGTGACCTTGGAAACATTATTGAACTGGTCTGTGCCTCAGTTTCCTCATCTTTAAAAAGGAGTCAAGGGCTGGCCAAATGGCTCAGTTGGTTAAGAGCTCGCTCAAGAGTGTGAGCTCTGAGCAACAGGGTCACCGGTTGGATTCTCGGCCCCAGCTGAGCTGCCAACAGGTGGCAGGATGGCTCAGCTAAAAAATAAATACATACATAAATAAATACATAAATAAATAAATAAATAAATAAAAAAGGGGTCACAAAACTATTGGCCTCATAGGGTTGTTGTGAAGTTAAATGAGGTAAGATATGTAAAAAAAAAAAAATCTCAGAACAAATCCTGGTACATAGTAAGTGCTCAATAAATGAATAAATGTTAGTTTTGTTCATCTCTACTGGAGCTAAAGGGACACTTAAGGGCAATAAAGGAATAGATATGCTTTACCCCTGAGCCTGGGTCTTCAAACCAAGCTAATTTAACGAAGGGAACAAACTGTTCTCTGTTATGTGGACACATAACCTCAATTTATTATGATGGGACAGAATAGACAGGCCATTGAATTGGCAGTGAGGATGTGGGTGATACTCTGTTGAAAGAATTATAGAAGAAACCTCACTCTTCCTTTGCCTGAGATGCCATCACATCCCCCACCCCCGGGTTGGCTGGGGAGTAGGTAAGTGGGATGGGGCTCTGTGTCTGGGGATGGAGTGCTAGTAGGGAGAGGCTAGGAAAGGGAAGAGAAACGCTCACTCAATCCTGTGTGAACATCTACAAGAAAGAGGGTACAGGACACAAAGTATTAGACTTGGAATCAGAAACTGTGGTTCTGGTCCTGGCTCTGGTTTCCATTGGACACCATATTTCTCATCTCAGAGTCACAGTTTCCCCTTCTGTAAAAGGGGGTAATAACACCTATTCTAGTTACTCTGCAGGGAGGCTGTGAGGATCCAGGGAGACAAAGCAGAGGACATGCTGGGTCCTGTGAGCTCTTTTGCACTGGAGTCCTATCCATGGTGCCAAAGTGAAGGTGTTAGGAGAACATTGCAATTGCATAAACAAGATTATCCTTGGAAATCCCTTAGAAGGGCGCCATCTTGGAGACCCATGGTCAATGATAAGTCCAGCCCAGCCGGGGGTTTTCTTCAGATTAGACAGTTGACTTAAACCAGGAGTCATGCTCTCTGGAAAGTTCCTTTCTTGAAACACCAGCATCATGCTCAGCATGGCATAACCCTCTCATCCTGAGGGGCACATGGGAAGTGAGCCTGTTTGAAGAGGAAGCAAATTCGTGCCTTCCGTCTCATGCTCCGTACAGGGCACACTCTCATGGAGGAAGCAGAATGCCAGCACCATTGAAATGGTGTTTCTGTCTCCCCACACTTGCTTAAGGTACATGCCCATATGAGACAGAGGGCACAAGCCAGAAAGCTGCTGGGCTGCCTCTCACACTGCAGGGTGAGGCCTCCGCGGAATTCTCTGCCACCTGCTTCCAGGAAACCTCAACTTGGAAATTTCATCACAGTGTTAGAATGCAGTGGGCTCTCAGAGATCAGGAAAGATGAAGCATCAAAGCATGAGGGGTGTGATGGCTTGTCTCAGGCCTCAGGGAGCGTCCTTTGCCCTTTAAAGTCCAACAGCAAAGACTCATGGGAAGACGATGGGTTTTGACTGGAGAGACGGGGCTTCAAACCCTGTCTTTGTCATTCGGGGATGTGTGATGCTCCAAAAGTCTCCCTGTTTGCAGAATAGGGACAAGAAAACGTTCTCCCCAGTGTTGTAAGATGGTTAAAATAAATGTGTGTGTAACAGAATAAAAAATTGCCTGAGACTGGGAAGTCCTGCACGCCTCTCACAATGGCCCAAAGGTGCACCCATCCTGGGGAGCAGAGGTGGAGCCTGTGACAGACATATTGGCCTGGGTTCACTTGAGAGGAGTCCTGACCATGAGGGCAGCCTGTGAGGGTGAGGGGGTGCTGGTGGGGCATTGGCTGAAGGAGGGGCTTGTCCTTGCAGTGGATCCTGTAGGGGCATCTCAGAAGAACCCGGAAAAGTGTGTCCCCATGAGAAAGAATCTGGTTGAAATTCTAGCCAGACCCAGACACTGTGAGGCCAACTTACAACAGTCTCTATCAAGGAAGAACTTTCCTGCCCTGTTTTCCTCCTGCTTATACTTTTGTCGCCTTAGAAACAGCCGAGGGAGTGAGGGTGGGAGAGAAGCAAGAAAGAGCCCAAGCTGAAGAAAGACCTCCCCTTCCTAGGCGCTGGGTCCTACCTGGGGGCAGGGGAGAAAATGAGGGTTGATGCATTGAATAATATGGTGACCAGACATCCTATTTACTGAATTAAAACGATGTTTTGTGATTTGAATTGCGTGCAATTTTCTGTTATCTACAAGTGAGCAGGAAAATCATGAGACCATCCACGTTTGTATCCAGAGACAGGAGACAATATTTACCTCCCACCGAACCAAAGCTGCTTTTATAGCTATACCTCATGAGTCCTTCCTGTTCAATGTACTTGACATCCATCACACACTTAGCTCTGTGCTTGGCCCAGAGCAGGCACTCAACAACATATGGATTTATTTACTCATCATCCCTCTTAGGCCTCAAGGTCCTAGAGTTTGAGAATACTTGCTTTTCAATATTTGAATTCCCATAGTACCTGGTGACGAGTAGACCCACATTCAATGCCTGATGAATGAACATAACAAAACTGAATTCTGTGCCAGCCCCGTCATAACAGCTACCATGACAAATGTTGCACTGCTGAGACTGCTGGTGAGGAAGGAGGCAGGGCCAATGCATGCCAACATCACTACTTACTTGCGACATTAATTACATCCACAGTCTGAGGAGCTGCGGCCTAATCTCCGACACTGACAAAGCCTTTTCCCACTCACATTATTTTTCTTTAAATTTCAGAAGGGTCAGGGCCATGAAGGGAGGCATAATTATCTCCCTCCTTTTGCAGAAAATGTAGTGAACGTGGGAGAGATTAGGGACCTGTGCAAAGTATCTGGCAAGCTGAGACTGGGTGGGACTCGGCCTCTAACTCCAAACTCAGGCTCTGGCCTAAAGCCCAAAGCCACAGAAAATGCAACTGAAAGAGAAAAGGAGGGGCGTGGTTTCTTCCATCACAGGGATGGAAGCAGGTGAGGATAAGGCACAGAATTGCTGGCTGCTATATGCAAATTCTCAGGGCAAAGTGAAATCTTATGTTTGATTTATAATCCTCAGGAAACTGGGAGCTGTCGTGGACATTCTGACATGAATGTAGTGACTGCAGGGTGCCATGAATTATGTGGCTGGCCTCTCAGGATCAGGGAGGCTTTGCAGAGAAGGGGTGATTATAGGCATCCAGAACTTCACACAAATAACATTTTGCAGCTGGGTGACTAGGTGTGGAAGACAGTTCCCAGAGCAGCAAGAAGGTGGTGCCACTTGCCAAGAGAACCAGGTCAGAGGCAGGGATTCTCGCCTCCCCTGCCACTCTGATTTGGCCTGGAGGCCACTCTTGGATTTCTGTCACAAAATGGGATACTTCTGAGATACCAAGGGTCCATCCCTTATTGCCCGTGTATGCAAATGCTAATTAATCCCTTCTCCCTGGGGTACCGCGGAGCTGGCTGGGCAGAAGGTAGCAGGAAGGCCATGCAATCCAAGTAGTTATTACTGTTCTAACTACTACAAACCATGACGGAAATTACTACCAGTTTATTGAGTGCTTACGGTGGCCAGGTACTATGATAAGTGCTCTGAATTATTTAATTCCCATGAAAATTCTGTGGAGTAATTATTATTATCCTTATTTCACAGATGAGAGCATTGAAATTCAGAGAAGTTAAGAAATTTGTTTTAGGTCACAGGTTTGGTTAATGAATTCAGTTCTTTTGGACTCTATAGCTTGTACTGTTAATCACTGCGATATACTGTCTCTCCCTCCCTCCCTTCCTCATTCTGTCCTTTTTTCCTTCCTTTTTTCCCTCCCTCCCTCCCTTCCTCTCTTTGTGCCTAGCACTGTGCTGAGTGTTAGGTTCAGGAAGGGTCAGACCACACCTCTGCTCACGGGGACCCTCAGTGTTACGCGTGTA